TGTTTTTTTTTTTTTCCTGCAGCATGCTAAACGTCGCCGATGCTAATCTGTGCGGAGCTGGAGCGGCACAGCGAGGTATCGATTACTGCCACCGGGTTACGCGTTGCGTTTTGGGCACACAATAAGCCACACAGACAGCAAGACGAGAGAGAGAGAGAGGGAGAGCGAAAGAGAGAGGGAGACAGACAGGCAGAGAACAGTGGAACGAGGGACCGACAAGTGTTTCCCAGGAATTCCAAGAAATTTTGGGCTCCATGGCAGAAAAGCTTTGTGCGGCGCCTGGCAATTAATTGTGCGCCAACTTGGCGGTGGTCGGGCGTGGGTTCAGCGCAGTTCGTCTACAGTATAGGGTTACCAAGACAGTCAGTCAGTCAGACAGAGAGACAGACAGGCAGTCAGACAGATACTCAGTCAGTCAGTCAGCTTTGCATGCTGGACGCGCGTTCATTATGCGCCGTTTTGCACTATTTTCCGCACAGAAAATCATTAGAGCTGCCCGCAGCGCTGAGCTGGACCAAACTATATCGTGGGAATATGGCAAATAAACTCGCCCAAATTACACACATACACAGAGCTCGAGAGGGAGTAAGAGGCACAGAGGGACAGAGAGAGGCAGATGAAGTGCGAGTGCCTAGACAATTCGTAAACCGCAGTCGCTCCAGGAAAAGTGCAATAAAAATTTGCGCAAATTTCGTGTTTCTGTTGGCCTGCAATTGCTATTGACTTGGCCTATCCATGGCTGCGGCTGACTGACGCCCCATGCATATTAAATCCTCGACTTGGATTGATACCAATGTCTCTGTGTGTGTGTGAGTGTGTGTCCAGATACAGATACTGGCACAGCTATAGATGCAGATGGAGATGGAGATGGAGATGGAAATACAGCTGTTTGCCTTGGGCGCCTGTGATTTATTTGCTGCGGATTTTTACGATGGCGCTGAGGGACGCCATAAAATGCAAAGCTTAAAGATCGCCCCATCGAGTTGCATTTAAAATGCATTTCTCCCTTAATAGTTTGGCATTATGTTTGAGCTTTATGTGCTAATTAGTGGGCCCAACGGGCAGGCCTCAGCCCAGACCTCAGCCTCCTCAGTTTGTGGGCGTATTGCTGAGCTCTGCTACGGCTGCTGCTTACTCTCTGCTCTCTTCTCTCTCTCTGCTGCCTGCCTGCCTGCTGAGCTGATGATGACAACAACAAGATTTGCGCCTAATTTCTGTGGAGCACGTAAACTTTGTTGGATATCTCTCCAGTGAAGCGTAAAACAAACTGAGCCCCAAGTAGCTTGATTAAGATCTTGACTGCCGCACTGAGATTAAACATGTGGCAGCAACCAGTCGCTGTGGCAGTTGCTGCAATCCCAGCTGCAGCAGCAGCTGCAGCAGCATCATCCAACTACTGATGCCACTCGCTCTGCCGCTGGCTGTGAGGGTGGAAGATCTTTAACTACGCCCGCCTCCAACGCAAATACAAACTGACACTGGTCCAGGCACTGGCAGTGGCACTGGCACAGGTTGGCTGCTGACGCCTCGCTAAGAATCGTGTTTATGCTTTTAATTAGCAACAACAACTTGTACAGTAAGTAGTTGCAGCAGCAACTGCAACAGCAACTGCAACAGCAACAGCAACAGCAACAACAACAAACCACTTGGTGCTACTTAGTGCAGATTTCAAGGTAGCGATAGATATATTAAGAAATGACATGACATGTCTCGCTCACTCCACCTCAGCCTTAGGCTCGCTCAGATAAATTTTGATGTAGATTACAAGACAAGGATGCGCGGGAGTTTTCGCCCAGCCACGGCCGCATGGCCATAAATCTCACAGTTGTTGTTGTTGCTACCGTTGTTATGGCCATTAACACGTTTTGGTCTTTACGAAGGATGAGCATTATCATATTATCGCCCCGGCCGACATCTTGTTTATGATAAATATTTAAAAAACTTATTAATTATGCCACAAATAGCCAAGCATCGCCAGCAGCTGCCCAGTTTTGGCCATTTGCTAGTTGGCATTTTCAGCTCGGCTAATTGGGAAATGCTCAACTTGCCGTGCCGTGCGAGTGTGGGAGTAGAGATCGCCTACGAAGCCAGCGATAGCTGTAGATATAACCAGCTGATATTCATCGTCTGAGCATAAATTTTAGGTGCAATTCATGCTCATGCATATTTATGTAGCGATCTCATCAATTTATATAAATTGAATCGAGTTAAAAGGAGAAAACATTGCATTAGAACGTGGGTAAAATTATATTTAATTAATTTAGAAATAAATACAATTTTTATTTTCATTTATTGAATTTTATTTATTGAACAATATTTACCCCAATTTTTTGAAAAATTGAATACATTTTAAAAATATAATTTATTCAGTTTTTTTAAGTTCTCACTGAAACCATGGATAAGTATTTTTAAATTAAATAAATACTCAAAATATTATTTAAAAATTGTTATTATATTTTCTTTAGCATTCATAAGAATAATTTAAAAATCTAAAATTATATTTGAGTATTTGAAAGCTAAATTCATAAAATTATTGTTATTAGTATTTTATTATTTTAATTTTCATTAGACTATAAAATAAGTTTAAAAATTTTGTCGATAACTTTTATCTTACAAAATTTTCATATTATTATTAATTAGTTTTTTATAGTTTCTTACATTTATTTTATTTTTTATTATTTTATTTTTCATATTTTATATGTATTTCTATTACACTCTTTTCTTGTAATGTTTATTTTATATTATACTTTATAGATAATTTTAGATTATGCATCAATTAATATTAATATTTTTTTTACGTGTTTCATTACTTAATTTGTATTTTCTTAGCTTTTTAATTGTCTAGATTATTGTCTGAAATTTTTTTTTTTTGAGCCAATAAAATGTATTCAATTGTTCAGCTATGCAAATAGTTTCAAGTACGAGCCGTAGACAAGATCGGTCCACCAATCGACTGGTGGCGACCCTTCACTCTCAGCTCGCAGTGGCCACGCCTACATGCTGCCCATGCTGGCGCCCAGTGCCAATGCCAGTCGAAAGCAATACAATCATATGTTGTGTGAGCTACGACTATCGCAGCACTTAAATCAATATTCGTTTTAATTGTACAAATCACCTTGACTTAATTGTAAATGTGTGCATGAGTGTGAGAGGGAGAGAGTGCATGTGTGTGTGTGTGTGACCCCCTTGAGCGTACCACTCAATTCGGCTTCAATCTGTTCTATTATGGGCAGTTGGCAAATGTCGCTGGAGCTGTCGCCGCCTGCCAAAGGCGAACGGATGCTGGCCAAGAAACCAACAGCAACCGCAACAACAACAACAAACACACCAAATCGGACGGTTCCGTGGCCGTGGCGCTCGTTTGCATTGCATGCGGCAACAGTTTGTTGCATGCAACGCTAACCCACACACACACACGCACACACACACAGAGAGATTGAGAGCGCGTGTATCTGAGAGAGATACATGTGTGTGATTGTTTTAAATGTTAACATGGCCATTTAGAGGCAATAACAGCGGCAAAATGGCAGTCTGGCCCGTCTGTGAAAGCCAGAAAGGCGCGGGCACTTGCTGTTATTACAACAATATTACCAATATTTATCAAGCGCTTGCAAAATGCTCCAACCGCGAGCCAACAATGGCAACAACGTCAGCATAAATATATGTATGTATAAAATAACAGACAACAACAACAACAACAACAACGAAAAAATGCTTATACGCCGCGTGCGCCGCCGCCGCTGCATAAAAAGACAAATTTATGATTTATGAATTCAACCTTGTAAATAATATGCTCAGTAAGGTACACACGGACAGCTCGCTAAACGCTCCAGCCGCTGCGCACACCGCCGCCCCTCTCTCTCTCTCACTCTCTCACTCTCTGATCTCTCGATCGAACAACCAACCCAAGCAAGCATTCAACCAACCAACCTACCAAGCACAACTGACCAACCTACTTGCACAGTTTTCCGCACAAGGCATGTGGCAAGTGTGCCCCACATCGACCAGCATTGCAACAACAACAACAACAACAACAGCAGCAGCAACAACATCAATAAAAACAACAACAACTGCTAGTTGTTTGATTTTTAAATGCGCGATGAGTTATTTATGCATCTCGCATGCGCTTTTTGTTTTGCGCCAGCAAATTAACCCTTAGATGGTGCCGCGATTAAAGATGCGGCCTAGAGTTATAGAGTAAAAAGTACAAATAACAGATTTGAGCTATTCACAAAAAATTAAAAAAAAAAAACTTATGTACTCTCAATATCTTTGGCAATTTAGAATTAGAAATCTTCTTCTTATTTTAATATTTATTTTTTTTTTATTTCCTTTGGGATTATGTTCTTTAATCGATTCTGCTCTGAAACACCTAGCTATGATATACAAAATATATAATACTATTCTATCATTTTAATAATAAAATGAAGCTCTACATTTACTAATGAAGCCATAATTCATACGAACCTTGAGGAAATATATACCCATTTAAGTATAAAACCTAAAATAAATAATAAATATCAAAAGTCATAAAAAAAAAATATAATAATAATAAATTAATAATTGCTGCATAAAATATTTCTTTAGATATAAATAATATATATATATAAATAAATAAATAATAATAATAAAATGAATAAAAAAAACATAATTTATATTACCTAAACGATATAAATGCAAATAATTTAATAAAAATTATTATTGATATATTAATAAAATATTAAACAAGACATATATTCTTATTGTCGGCACTTTGGAGCACAGTGCACCTGTGGCAGGTTAAACATGCACACGCTAGCAGTTGGAGGCTGTGAAAACATATGCGCCTGTGGCCAGTGTCGGCGCTGTCCATTATTAAGCCATAGCTGTGAATGTGCACACATTCAGACATACAAATATACATACATACATATGCATATATATACTTATTTAAAAATAATTGCTTATTATTTCGTATTTTAATTCATCTATTTATTTGATTTGTTTGCCGTCTTTTGCAGATTCGACGCCAACAAATCAACGAAGGGCGCCTCGAAGATGCGGCGCGATCTTATAAATGCGGAGATAGCCAATCTGCGGGATCTGCTGCCGCTGCCGCAATCGACGCGCCAGCGACTGTCGCAGCTGCAGCTGATGGCCCTGGTCTGTGTCTATGTGCGCAAAGCCAACTACTTCCAACAAGGTGAGTGGCAAAACCAAAGACATGGGGCGAATAGAAAAAAAAGGCAGCAAAGAAAACAGAAAAAGACATCAGGAAGGGGACGAGTGCAGGCCTGATGCATATGCATGCTGATAATTGGCTGCACGTTGATTGAATATGCATGAGTCATGGTGCACTGGGCAGGGACCCCACGCCGCCAAAAAACATGCGCCATGGCATTCGTTTAGCCGAAATGAACAAATCCAGCACTGGAAATAAACCGCTAACTCTGTGCAGCATAGTTGAAGCTGTTATGTTGGGGTATGCCACATCATTCATATGTCTGTGTCTCCGGCTCGGCAAAATTGTTTTCGGCCAAGTAATTGCCTAAGCGTCTAGGCACGCACCCAGACCAGGCCTGCAAATTGCAGCCATCTCTCTCTCTCTCTCACACTCTGACTCGATTTAATGTGCATCCTCCTTTAATGCGCATGCGCACAGGTCAATGCGCAGGCGCAACTGAACGAGATCAAGTCAGGCATTGCGCGCTCTTTATTTTTGTTTTCTGGATAATTACGAAAATTGTTTTTCAAATTAGCGTTGTGCGGTACATAAGCCCCATAGATAACACACACACACAGACACAGCGGCAGACACACGCATACAAACACATTTGTTCGTTCGCCTGGCTCTCTTAACTTGGCTAGCATCTTTGGCAGGCCATGTGAACTCGTTGCCCAGGAACGAGGAGCGAGGAACGAGGCACGAGAAACGGGCTTCCCCCTTAGCCAAGCCAATTTCACAATTGCAATGGTAACAACAGCGTCTGCCTTGCATTGCTATAAATATTGCGATAAATCAAAATGTGCGATTTATGTGTTCTACAAATTGCAAAAAATTAAACTTAAGTACTGTTGTTTTTTTTCCTTCTTTCTATCTCTTCTCCCTCTCCCTCACGCTGTCTAGATATATCTCAGCTTTTTTTTTTTGGTTCACTAAGTGTGAGAAATTGTCGGCGTTTGTTAGCTTGTCGTTTGCCCTGGGTGTGTGTGTGCGTGTGTTTGTTGTTGTTATTGTTCATTGTCATTGCACCGTTTAAAAGCATTTATAATCACAAATTGTGTTAATATTGGCACGCCATCGCAGCTCTTATGGAGCCATTGAGCACACGCGCTTTATCTCCAAGTTCAGGGCATTATGTTATACATATACACACATACATATACATATATATTGATTTAGTGAATGTGGGTGTGGGGCGCTGTGGGTGTGGCTGCGGCTCTCTGGTGCGGCTAATGAAATATTTATAAACCAAATTGAGTTTTCACAAACAATTATTGATGCGCGTCGATTTGTGCAGATTGGCCGACGGCTTGAATCGCATTGCGAAAATAATACTTATCGTATTTGTTGGCCGGCTTAGGCTCCAGGGGCGCAAACTGTGAAAGTTGCATCAACTTGTTAAGATACAACAAACGCGGCCTAGATGTGGATACATTTAATTTAACCTGCTGCGATCAGCGATTAGAAGTTTCGAATTTATAATATTTACAGCGAGAGCAGAAATAGAAGAAGAAGTTTCCAACTTGTTTGCAAATATATCATCTAAATATTAATATTTATATGACAGTCCACTTGAAAGGAGGGGTCAAGAATAATAATAAACATATTTGTGTTATATAATACATTCATTAGCAATTGAAATGTATTTATATGACAATCAATTATAACATAAGAAAAAGTTGATATCCAAAAATAAAACAATTTGCAATGCAACAATATTGCAATAATTCTATCAACTACTCAGTCGCAGTATTTGGATTCCTTAATCGCGATTTAAAATCCGAGAATAGTTCAGAGAATTATGGAAAATTCTCCCAATAGCTTGATACTAATTGACCACAATTGTTAAAAACAATTTTATATCATACTGAAAACTAGCTAACAAATTTAAATAATCAATAATAGATCAAGCAAAATGTTCTTAACAGTAATTAAGATTTTCAAGAAAATTTTAGTTATCTTTAGGAAAATTTACAACGCTGGAAAATACGTAGAATGAGCAATGCAACGCTTGTTCTTCTAGCCTGGGCATCCGGCCACGCCCTTTATGTAACTGCCTTAACCTAGACAACAATCGAATCGAATTTCTTGGTATTTGTTGCAATATTAAAACACTGCAAACAAAATCTGACTGCATTCATGGCCTTTCCGTTCAAGTTCAATGAAATTACCAGTTGCGGTTGCTGCTGCAGTGATCGTCGTTGTTGTTGTTGCTGCTGCTGATGTTGTTGTTGCTGTTGCTGTGACTGTTTCTGTTCGGCTTTTTGCCAGGTGCGGGAGTATCTCGTAGTGTTTTAAAAATAATTGATCTTGATGCTGGCTGCAGCGCAGCTGCAACTGCTTAGTGCAATTGCAGCCAGTGATCGCTGTTGATTTTCGTATTGTTGCTGTTCTTGCTGCTGCTGTTGCTGTTGTTGTTGTTGATGCTGCTGCTGTTGCTGTTGCCTCAGTGACAATGACACATTTTCTTTTTGTGATTCACTTGTTTTTCTAATGCAAGATCGTCGCTTATTGTATGTAGAATATAATCAATGAATGCACAATCAATTGCATCTAACAATTGCCGTCAGAGACCAGGTCTATTATTAACAGATACTTTTTTAATTAGCTACGATAAGTATTTATTTTTGTTTGTATATGCATACAAATTACACACACACAAGGAGCTATGGGAAAATACTGAGATTTTTAAACAGATTCGCCTCTACCTTAAGGCGGATGCTAGAGCGCGGATGTGGCTGGGCGCGCCTATGCAAAGACATATAAGGTCAAGAGTTGAAGCCGAATTAAATTAATTATATGCATTTCTCTCTATGTTTTCCATGTTTCACCTACAGTTTTCAAGCGACACAATACGCTGCATCAACATCATCAGACCACAACACCAAATATTGGCTTCTCGAAGGTGAATATTAAATCAATTTATTTTTAGATAAAAAAAGATTATATTTTAATAATTATTAAACGTATCTTATAATAATAATAAATACATATGATATATTGAATATATGCATATTATTATATTTACTATTTCTGTTTCTATTTACTATTTCCCTTTGAGGAAGTTGCAGTAGGATTTTACTTGAACGAACTTAGATGTACGAAATATCAGCTTATTGCTTATGAATAAAATCTTAATAATAATATTTGATTAATATTTTTCAGAACATAAATTTTGATAATAATATTAATAAATGATGAATATAAAATATAAACTTATTGCTTATGGGAAAATATACTTAATACTTATATTGATTAATTATTCTTATAACAAACATCTTGATATTTATATTAATTAATACAAATTTATTCTGTTGTCTTTCAAGTGATTATTAATAAGTCTGTAATTTTCAATTCTAATCTGATATTTAATTTAGAATTCCCAAACATGTTGAAATATAAATATAAATGTATACAAATTTATATATTTTTTCTTCATTATTAATTTCCATATTATTAAGCAATATATATCTACTTTATTTAGATAAACTTAATTAATTTCTAGTCTAGTCTAGGAGTCTCGTTCATATTGAATGGAGAAAGGTGGCATTATCGCAATGTTGATCCAGATTTTTGTTGATGCCACAAATGATGCGTTTGTCAATTCAATTAAAAATTTCTGCTTGCTATTGGAAACAACTCAATTTAAGTGAGGCGCGTTGACAACTCAACTAGTGAGCCGAAAGTTCCAGGGAAAACAACTCTATTAATGGCAGCAACTGTGCCATATCATAAGCCAGAAATCGTTTAGCCGCCGCCACTTGCTGCGCTAAAAAAAAAAAAAAATACACCGAGCAGCAACCACCAGCAAATGGAAAAGAAAACAATAAATGCTGCTCTTAGCCAAAAACAAAATGAAAAAATAAAAAATAAACAAAAACAACAGAGCAGACAGTAGTCAGTAGTCAGTCAAGCTGGCTGCCTGCCACTGGCTGCTGCGACTCGGCGATGGTCGGCAGATTGATCTACATACCTGTGCGCACTCGTGACTGAATTTAATACATACATATATACATATGTATGTGTGTGTATATATGTGTGAGTGTGCTGATAGCAAGCACAGTCAATTTTCAGTTGTCAACTTCTTCAGCCAACTTCTTTGGGGCTAACAATTTATTAGTGCGCAGACGCGAAAATAAATTTGCATTTTCAACACAATTGCTGGGCAGCCCAATAGAGGGTGTTTCTTTCACCAGTTCGACTTCAATTCGATTTCTCCAACCAACAGAATAGCGCTGCATATGTCTATGCATGAGAAACTAATGAATATTTAATCGTGTATCCATTTTTTAATAAAAATAATATAGAAAATTTAAATAAAATCAGTCAACAATATTGTATTCTATTCCGTATTTTTACAGCTTTAGGTATCATAATTCTTAGGGAGTTTTCTTAAATTACTCCAACTAGAAATATTACAAGTATTATTTTTCTCATTTTTATGTCTTATGTATTATTTTTATAAGTTTACGTATCTTCATCAATAAATAAATCATGCAGAAAATTTAAATGAAATCATTCAATAATAATAGATTATTAATTTTTAATTTTTCCTGAAGTATATTCATCCTACAAGGAGTTTTCTTCAATTACTTCAAGAAATAAATAATATAGAAAATAAAAAAAATAAATAAACAACCTGCAATATTAGATTATATTCTGTATCTTACAAGTATTCTTTGTCATAAATATAATTAAATGGTAAAGAAAATTCAAATAAAATTATTCAACAATCTTATATTATTTTTTAATATATTTCCAAATTTAGGTATAGTCATCCATCAGGCAGTTTTATTCAAATACCTCGACTAATAAGTACAATAAGTATTATTATTATATAATTTGTCCTCCTTGGAGAGTTTCCTTCCATTAGCAAACACCCTATATGTGCAGCTAGTCTAACCCAACATATCATTTGTTTTGCAGGCACTCTCAGGCTTTCTCATGATGCTCACACAAAATGGCAAATTGCTCTATATATCGGATAATGCTGCCGAGTACCTGGGACATTCCATGGTGAGTTGATGTTTTTTCTATTGCTGCATTTTCTTTGCTTTTTCTTCGTCTGCTTCTTCTGTTTCTTCGACAATTTTTCATTTCGCTTTTTGGGGGTAACAAAAACGATTTGCGCGAATAATTAGAAAAGCGCAGTCTATGAAAGTTTTTGGCTAAAATTGCTACAGCCGTTGATACAAATCTCTGACAAGCGACAACAGGCAACGAAGACAACAACAACACCAGCAACAACAGCAACATCGTTGTCGGCCCAGCAGCAACAACAACAGCAACAACAAATATTTGCTGCAGTTTTTGTGTTGGTCGTTTGGCTTGGTAGTTGGCTGCTGCTCCCGTTGACAAGTCAGCAACAACTGACTGCCAGAGCCTCGATTCATTGAGCTTACATAAATCTGTGGCTTGTACTACACAAAAGTTCCTTAAATCTGTTGCAAACAGCTCAACTTTGTTGCCGCTGCTGCTGCTGCTGCTGCCGTTTTAGTTTCTGTTGTGGTTGTTTCAAGTTTTGTTTATCGCACGTTTACGCTGCTTAAATAGCAAGGTTATACATCGTGGCCTTTCACTTTGCATTTGAAGTACTAAAGCTAAATAAATATATGTGTGCCTGTTGCGCTGCATATATAAATGCACTCGCATGCAGCACATGTGACATATCTCCCCGTTCTACATACATGAATACGACTTCGAATACGACTTCGAATACCAATGCAAGTGCCGGCGCGAGTGCAGTTACTTATTCATCTAAAACAAACAGCTAGACATTGACAAAGGTACTGTTACCAACTCTGATTCGAGCACACACACACACACACACACACACTCACAGATACACACATATGCCGGGAGATTGTTGACTGTTGATGTGCCTTACCGACTGCAACTGCAACTTTCCGGCTTTGATCGGCACAGGGGGCGTATGAGTTTTACTGCACTGCAACTGCAGCAACTGTCAAAAGTTTGTGAGAAATCGAAGCATTTTGCCAATAAATCATAATCCATGCTGTCCTAGTTGCGCTCAGTTAAATTAGATATATAGTAGATTGTTCACAAAGTGAATTGAGCATATTGGCCGTCCCACTGTCCATTTGTCTGGCTGTCTATATAAATGCCAAAGATTGCAAAACCTTTAATAGTACATATGAAATAAAAAATATGATATAAACATTAGATTAAAAAAAAAAAAAAAATATATATATATATA